TGAAGTGGCTCGCTCTAGTAGTGGCATTTATTTGTCACAACGAAAGTATGTGTTGGATTTACTTACTGAAACGGGTATGTTAGGATGTAAACCCGTGAGTACTCCTATTGTGCAAAATCACCATCTGGGAATATACCCGAATCAAGTTCCAACTAATAAAGAGAGATATCGAAGGCTAGTTGGAAAATTAATTTATCTATCGCTCACTAGACCTGATATTGCATATGCAGTTAGCGTTGTTAGTCAGTTTATGCACTCTCCAAGTGAGGATCATATGGAGGCTGTAATGCGAATCTTGAGTTATTTAAAGTCTGCTCCTGGGAAAGGTTTGCTATTCAAAAAGCATGGACATTTGAAGGTTGAGGGATACACCGATGCGGATTGGGCAGGCAATATTACGGACCGACGTTCCACATCAGGATACTTTACATTCATGGGAGGTAATCTAGTCACATGGCGTAGTAAGAAACAAAATGTGGTCTCTCGCTCCGCAGCTGAGGCTGAATATAGAGGTATGGCTCAAGGAATTTGTGAACTTCTCTGGCTACGGTTGTTGCTTACCGAGATAGGTTTTGAACCACAGAATGCTATGCAGCTTTATTGTGATAATCAAGCTGCTCGAGAAATAGCAAACAATCCTATTCAGCATGACCGAACAAAACACGTGGAGGTAGATCGGCATTTTATCAAAGAGAAGCTAGATACAAATTTGGTGACTATACCATTTGTTAAATCAGAGGAGCAGCTAGCCGATGTATTGACACATGCAGTGTCCGGGAAAGTTTTTTATGACTCACTCGACAAGTTGGGCATAGGAGATCTCTACGCACCAACTTGAGGGGGAGTGTTGGCATGAGTTCTATTATTTCCAATTGTATTACTTCCATAAATAAGTTTTTTTTTTCCTTACATAGTTTTCCCTGTCCATATCTATATTGACTTGGTGCCTACTCCAAGATCTCTTACGCCTATTTAAGGCTTCTTGTATATTCTCTCTAATTAATTGTTTTATTAGAATAAAATTTATCACTTCATTCTTTTGTCTCTTCATATATTATGTTTCCAATGGTGGTTCTTGCTCCACCATAATTTATATGCAATGAATACTCCTCTGAAAATTGCGTTCAGAAGTTATCACACAAAAAAGGAAAAGAAAGTAAGAAGGGACAAAAGTTTCAAATATTTGTATATGTTTGAATTTGCTCGACACCTAAAAAGGTAAGCCAGATGCAAGAATCAAAATTTTGTTTCGGTGTGTTGCTTCAGTCGAGCAAGGATCCTCTAGAGTTTTTTTTTCCTAAAATTTCCTAGAGTGGTGCATTGTGTGGCTGAGATTTAATGACAAGTCACATCAATTTTTCAACATTAAATCTCAACCACACAATACACCACTTTAGGAAACTTTAGGAAAAAAACACTCTAGAGGATCCTTGGTGGCTTCAGTTAGCTTGGAAATAGATGCAATTACGGAACATTAGGGAGATGATAATTTTTAAACAAATAACTAAAGCCTTATAAATATTTACACAAGCCTAATAATTGAATAATTGAACATGTTTTAGGTCTACACATCTCTTTCCATAAAAGTGAAAGCATATAATTTGGAAGTAAAACCAGTGCAAACCGAGAATCATCAAATTAATGTCAAACAACTCAATGTTATGGCACACATGCATATACAATTGTAATATGCACAAGGTTCCAGCCAAAATATATTTACAAAACTATTAAGGTTAATTTTTGGGAAAACAATATTAATAGCAAACAAAGGTCAAAGAGTATCCAAGGTGAGGGATGTCCTTTCGAAAAACAATTTTTTTTTTTTTTTTAATTTTTTATAAGAATAAGAGAAAGGTTCAATAAAGATCAAATAATATTGGAAAGTCATAAACAAAACGTTTGAAGTGTTAGTTGGAGAAGGGTGTTTTCCATCACAAAATCAAATAAAACATAAAAGTGCTACATTCTAGTAGAAGTAAGGCTGGGGAAAAAACAAGTAACATTAATAGTATTTATAAGAAAAGGTATGTCTACAATAAAAAATAAAAGAAAATAAGTGACTTGAACATGTACTTTTTTTTAATTCATCTCTCCATCTTTTATCCTCATTTCTACTTTCCTAGATTCTTAATAAATTTAAAAATTTATATTAATAAAAAAAAGGAAAATAGAAATAGCTTTTGTTAGATATTCATAATAGGTGATGAAACAACTTATTATTTCAAAATGTTTCATAGTGTTTCGATGAGTTTCAGTGAAAACACTTGAATATCCATTTTTCACTGAAGTTTTGTGTCAGTTTACTAGAAAGGAAAACATTTCAGGAATTTAAATGAAAAGGAAAAAAAAAATTGCCTTGGCCAAATGTAGTCTACAAAATTGGCCGCCATCAGTAAAGACTAAAGAAATATACATAAGAAACTGAGATATAACCTCCTGTAAGAAAAATATATACTTACTACTTTGACAAGTTGTCATGCAGTCAGCAAATTCCCTGGATTAATTTAGCATGAAACAAAAAAATAAATTCATTGCATTATACAATACACCTCTGAAATACAGATTGTAGTTCTTTCAAAGAAAGGTAGAAGCTTACAACTTTCCACTAAAGAAGTTTCTGAACAAGTTTCTGGTCACAAAAAAAGAAAAGAACAATGAATCAAATGTTTGTGGAAGCGAAATCAAGAACAATAAAAAAATGAACAAGAGAAAAACGGAAAGAACTTACAGGTTGCTTTTACAAGGTGATGGCTGAGAGATCTCAGAAAAGTTATTATAAGAAAGATCTAGTGCGCTGCATGAGATCATTTTGATACTTTAATTGTTGTCACAACTCAGTATACAATCTGTGTGTGTAAGGTGCAAAACAAACTAGAATAAAATTCAAAATGTAAAAAACAGATTTATTGTCAATGAATTTTTTTTTAAAAAAAAAAAAAACTTGAAAACAAATCTATAAAAACAGAACAGAAACTTAGAGCCAAAAAAAAAAAAAAAAAAAACTTGAAAACAAATCTATAAAAACAGAATAGAAACTTAGAGCCAATTTGCAAAAGGCAGTAATGGAGACAGATCAAGTCGAGTGTTCAACAGTTTTTTCTCAAGAGAGATTCGTCCCTCACATGGTGCCTCGGAGCGCTAGACTTCTATCTCCCAGGATGAAATGGTGTTCACAGTCTAATTGCAACACTTTGGGAAGACTGCCAGCGAACCAAATGGTGTATGTACTCACTCACCAAAAAACCAAAACTCTCAAAATGCAGAGTATGAAACAGAGCAGAAGGGAGGAAGAAAAATGAAAATAGGAAATGATTTTGATGATTGGAATGGCTAGAGGGATTGCCACTTTATAGGCAGAAAAATACCTGTTTCGACTACCAAAAAAGCGCAATGAAAAGACGTGACGCACACTAGAAATAGATGGAAAAGTTGCGACTGACTAGAGAGGAGACACTGTTGTTTGCGGAAAATTTGAAATTCAATTTTGAATTTTGAAATTTCGCACAAAAATTTTGAATTCAAATGCAAATAAATTTGGCCCAAAAAGATACACACATATCAGTGGATCGACCTAGACTACGCAATCGTGCCACAACCTAGTTCGGTGAGAGGAGGCAGCAGTGGCGCGCTCGCGTGTATTAATTTTTTTGGATCCAACCCATTTTGTCCGTAACTCTCCTCCTTACAAAACTTGGGTGTCTTTAGGACCCAAACCCAAGTGCCGAACTTAGCTATCATATACACAAAAAACTTCTCCTAACTTTCCTATGTGGGACAAGCTCAATACACATGTTTATAGAAAACCCAACAACAATACCATTTCCAAGAGGCTCACATGGGCGTCAATTTCCTATTCACCTGAAAATAGTTTTGAACAACCAATTTCATATTCTTGTTCACCATGCAAAAACAAACACATCACCACTTGAATCCATCCAAATGGGTGTGTGTGTCCCACTTAATCTTGGTTAGTCAAAAACCATGGGTTCAAAACTCATTTTTCTAAGAATCCCCCACATGAATTAAATGGATGGTAAGAACATGACTCCACCACTCGAGTGAACTCATTAAAGCGCGTGCCCATTGCTCGAGCCAAGACTTCACCACTCGAGCGCATATAAGATGCTCTTAGAAGTTTGGACGCTCTGCAAAAGTATTAGACGATGCCATTCACCGCAAGAGCGAACAAATGACTGCTTGAGCGGTCAAATAACTTAGACTGCATTTTTCTTCAAGGGCGCTGCCTCTTGACCCAGTGAGCTGACCGGCGAGGTCAACCCTTGTCATAGTCAGCGAAGTGGAAAACATGGGAGGATTAAGATCACAAACTCCTCTGCAAGGTACAATTCGAGTTGGATTTGCATCTAAACACTCTACAATTTGATCGAAATTGGACCCTTGATTCCATCGACTTTATTAGATGGACAAGACCCATCAGACACTTCATTTGCCGGCGACCTCTTTCAAAAATCAAGAGAATATATTGAATGGTTAAACTCAAAGCCCCAATCATCGGTGGTTTACATATCGTTTGGAACCATGATAGTCCTACCAAAGCAACAAAAGGAGGAAATCACGCAAGGTTTATTGGAAACTTATCGGCAATTCTCGTGGATGATGAGACCAAAAGAGACTCACGATGAAGAAAAAGAAAAAGAGGATGAAGATGTGCTAAGTTGCATGGAAGAACTCGAGCAACAAGGGATGATAGTGCCTTGGTGTTCTTAACTAGAGATTCTTTAGCACCCGTCTTTGGGGTGTTTGGCAATGCATTGTGAGTAGAAGTTGACGTTGGACAGCTTGGCTTCTGGGGTTCTGTCACGACCTAAACCCGCCCCTATAGGTTGTGCATCGTAACCGACCAATAATCCTAAGATTACCAAAGGCCTCTGAGACATATTAACAAAATAAGGGGCAAGCGGAAGCAAATATCAAAATAAAATGTCCATAGAGCTGTGCAGACGTATATGAGATAAAAAAATTTAAAACTTATATTCACATATATATTTATATAGTGACGTCATAAGTACATATACATCATTGTCTTACGTCACCCACTTATAAACAAAACAGAAAGGGACGTGGCCTCATATACAGACTAAACAAAAGTCTTGTTAAACAAAAGAAAGAGAAGATAAAGACAGACATCACGTGCACTTGACTTGACCACAGAAACACTTGGGAACCTCCTCGGGAGGCATATCAGTTGGCTTGACAAGATAGACCTCCAAGCAACAGCTTAAGCCTGGTCCCGCACCTGATCACCTACATAAATAAATAATACAATGAGATGGAGCCTAGTGAATAACAACTAGGTAAAGGGTTTATGAATGATGTGCCATTAGATTCAAAAATCAGATTTCAGATTAGAAACAGATTCAGATTCACATGCTTATACAGATTTCATAAACAATCATACATGGTACGTTCATTAGCTAACAGATCAGATTGGTCAAAAGACCCACGTGTAGAGTAGGTGATCATTAAGACCATAATTAGTACCGACGACCATATAGGTCAACAGTTAGTTCTAAAGATTGAAACCGTCAGAGATCTCTGCACACATATAGCCATGGCATTATTACCCCCAGACGAGAGCCACATGAACATAGATCGCGGTATTATTACCCCCGGGTGAGGGCCACATGCATGAACATAAACTGCGGTATTGTTACCCCCAGGCAAAGGCTACATGAACATAGAATGTCATATTACATTACAGAAAATTAATGGCCTAGGAATGGCTTAGATGTAATGAGGATGCAATGGCCACATGAACATAGACCGCAGTATTGTTACCTCCGGGCAAGGGCAACATAAACATAGAATACCATATTACGGTACAGAAAATTGGACATTCATTCATGGTTCACAAATAGCATTTCAGAAAACAGATCATATCGTATTCAGAAAATGCTTAAGTTCAAACACAGCTTTACAGAGTCGTTACTCACCGATAGCTCCAGAGGTAGAACAGATCACTTGCACAAACCAGATCGACCAGGCGGGTGTTAACACGTGACCTACAAACACATGATAGATACACTTGAACACACGTGTCATTGGCACTAAACTTGTTATTCTTCTTTCTTAACGTGTGTTTCTAACTCTTATCCTCATTATTGTAGCTTAATCATGGCCTAAGAATGCCTTAGATGTAATGAGGATGCAATGCACTTTGAAAACACTTGCAAAATTTTGAAAAACAAGGCAGTTCGCTTGAGCAAAGTTTTGGTCGCTTGAGCGGTCTGCAAAGTTTGTAAAAGTATTGGATGCCTAATTTCGACGGTGGCTCGACAGTCGCTCAAGCCAAGTATTGAGAAAAAAGATGTTCACTCGAGCGCACAATCGGTCGCTAGAGCCACCGTGCAATTGTCTCCAAAACTCGAATTTTACGCTTGAGTGAAGCTTTGGTCGCTCGAGCGAAGCGACCAAATTTTGGAATTTCCAAATTGCTGTTATAAGTTCAAAACTGAATTCCAAAGTACCAAAACTTAATCCTTTGGGCCCAAAACTTGAGAAACATGTAGGGACTCGTTATACTTCATGAATTGAAGATCGTTTCGCAAAAATCAAGGCCCAAAGTATGCCAATTCTTCAAAACCAAATCAAAGCTATGCTCCTCTTCATATGAAATGCACATGTATGTAATTATCCAAGTTCTTTTCTTTGAAAACATGATCAACTAAGACAAAATGACATAGAAAATGTTGAATTTCCAAAACAAAACTAGGATTATGACATGCATGCAAGAATTCTTTGGGGAAACAACCTCAAATGCCATGAATTATACATGCATGTATGTATTGAACTTAAATCCTTCAATCTTAGCTTACTTCTTGTATTTAGCCACCTAACTCTCTTGAATTCATATTCTTGATATCTTAAAGACAAAGTTTAGGAGTATAAGTCTTACCTAACGGTTGATTTCAAGTGTAATTCTAACTCAAAGTTCCAAATTGTCTTCAAATTCCACAAATTTTTCCTTTTCTCTTCCTTGATCTCAAATTCTCTCCTACTCTCCCTCTCTCTACATTTTGTTGTTCAAAAGATGAAGGAGTGTGTGTGTGTGTAGATGTTCCTAACACTCACATTAGCCTTATATAGGCTTGATTAGCATTAGGCTAATTAAGTGTAATTAGTTCTCATTAATCTATTCTAATTATTTGATTTCGAATCGAAATCTAATTAAACTTACCGGAAAATTCCAAAAATTCTAAATAACACATAAACGTAGTCAATTTTGTGTTCAGATGCCGATAAGGCCTTCAATTCGCATACCGAAACAAAAATTCTAACAAATATTGCTACATCAAACAAATGTAATTACAAATAACACATGAAATGCACAATTAACACATGATTTCAACTTAATTACTCATTGGGCATTCTTAATCATGGGTCATTAGCTAATTACAAATCAGGATTGTTACAAGTTCCAATGGTGGCAGTGCCGAGTTGATCGGATCAAGGGACAAATGCGAAGATAATAACAGAGGTGTGGGGGGCAGGGGTGAGAGTAAAGGCAATGAAGAAGAAACAGTTGACAGTGTAAAGGTCAAGAGGTGTATAGAGAAGGTGATGGGGAGTGAGGAGTGAGGAGAAGAAATGAGGAGGAATGCAAAGAAATAGAAGGAGTTGACAAGGAAAGCTATGAAGGAAGGTGGATCTTTTGACTTGAATCTTAAGGCTTTTGTAGAGCAGATTGGAGTTAGAGGGGGAGACTGTTTTTCTGTTAGACTTATTTATTTTGATGATTTATTTAATTATGTTTTAATTTATTTGGAAGAGAAAAATAGAATCAAAATTTATTTTGATGATTTATTTAAAAGAGAAAACTATAATCAAAATTTATTTTGATGATTTATTTGAAAGAGAAAAATAGAATCAACATTTATTTTAATAATTTTATGTTTTAATAAAATCAAAATTTATTTTGTCCCATTATTTCTCACCTGAACCTTTATCCTAAATATTGTTAAAATGTATTTAATATTTGATTAAATTAGGAGTTCAAATAGCCCAAAACAAATATTCAAACAGCCCAGCACAATAACAGACCAAAAGGTTCAAAAGGTTCAAGTAGAAGATATTAAATTTGTAATGATGGAGTGGAAGATATTCAAATTAGTAATGATGGAGTACAACGGCTATAAACGGCTATAAATTCAAATAAAAACAACGGCTATAAATGGCTATAAGTTTTATTATATATACCAAAGCCTCTAATATAAACAAGTGACAAAAAATCAGAAAATATTCTTTAATCTATAATCACTCACATCCATTCTCTGAAAAATTCTCTAAGAAGTGTTTTTCAATTTTTGTTTACATCCTCTCTCAGAAATTATACACTGAGCCTTATAGTATTAAGCTCATCTTTCCTGTGTGAGATCCACAGAAAAATCAAAGTTTCATTTTATATATCTATCTTTGAGAGATATTTATTGTAAGTTTTCTTTGAAAGCAAAAATACCATTTCATCTTCTAAATATGTTGCAAACACTGTGTTCTTGAAATCTTGAGAGTGATTGTGAATTACCTAAGATTTGCAAGGGTTTGGGCTTTAAAATCCGTGTAAAATTCGTGGAGGATTGCTCCATTTGTAAAGAGGTTGCTAGCACCCCTGTGAAGCTAGAAGACAATGGAAAATCTCAAGTGAAGCTTGAGGAGTAGATGTAGGCTTGGTTGAAGCCGAACCACTATAAATTTGTTTGTCTCATCTTCCCTAATCGCTTTACTTTCATATTACTGCTATACCTATCTAATATTCATGTGTTAATCATTTGATTTACCATGTATGTTAGTTATGCTTCATTATTATTTTGCTTGATCATTTACTGCTAAGTTCATCATTGTGCTTGTTAATAATTTGTTGTATTAATAGTTAATTTTATTGGGGTATTATTAATTTTAATTTGTAGAAACATAATTCCCTCCCACCCTTCTTAGGTTGCTTTTTGGATAACATCTTCTAGTATGTAAATTAGTCCCTTTTTTTTCCGTTTTCTTAATAACATTTGGTCGCAATTGGTTTTGAATATGAGAATTGGTTCAATTTGTAACACTGTTTTGTTGGACACATTTATAAGTCAAGGCATCCCTGATTTTCTTTTTCTTGAATGAATCTTGGAAGAGTTGCCTCGTTTGGGAACAGACTATTTTAGTAATTTTTTGGCTTTTTACGAAAAGATGTGCAGAAAAATAGAGTGGTGATGTGACAACTTTTAGTAACTTTTTGACTTTTTGTCTAAAATAGCTACTCCCCAAACGAGCGCAAAAATTACTAGCGAGAATTTTTTGTTGGCATACAAATATAACAATTAGTTGATAAATACTAGTTGTATTCTGACTAAGCTTAAGGTCTATTTTGACAATTAGGGGGAAAAAAAAAAGCCAACTTCATGGCTTGTTGGTTTATTTGATTCATATCACCTCTCTACTTTTTTTGCACTTTTTTTTTACAAAAAAAAAAATAAAAAATAAAAGAAAAGCCCAAAAAATTGGTTTTTTTCTTACTTCCCAAAGTAGGTCTAAATCTATTTGATTATCAAATAGTGCTTATTGAAATTATACTTTCTACAATGTTTCTCCTCTTTGCAATTGGCCATTTTTATTTAAATCAAACATGCTATTAGCAATTAATTGACCATTTATTTTATTTTTTGAGGAAGTGATTCATCCTATTACCAAACATCAACACATCTTGATCATACCTTGCCAAAGAGCACTCCATGAATATTTGATCTTTTGAAGTAAGGAGCTGTCTTTGTATGCTCTGAAACGATTTGTATTTACTCAAGTTGGCATCTAATTTGATAAAGCAATTGGGAACATATAAGAGATTTAGAGACCAAATTTTTCGGTCTCTAAAAGTAAAAATTTTGTTACAAAAGACATTTAGGGACCAATTTCTATCGTCATGAGAATAGCCGCTAAAAGGTCGTCTCGAAAAGTCAAAAACAAGGCTTTTAGCGACAAAATTTTGAAAATGTTACTGATAAACAGACTTTTAGGGACAAAATAATTTGGTCTCAAAATGGTTTATTTTTTTATACAAAAAATTTGGTCCCAAAATGATAATAATTCATCACTAATGTCCAATTTTCGTTATTAAAAATATAATGACGACACTTTTCGTAATAAAAATATTTGGTCCCTGAAAAATAATTTTGTCCCTAAATTTTAGTCTCTAAAACCTTAATTTTTTTGTAATGTTTTATGATCCGAACCGTTAACTTTTTAGGACTCATTAAATAAAAAAATTTATGCAACAATGAAGATGACAAATATCAGTAAATATATGTTTGAATCACATTTGTCTTATAAAAATATGACAACAAATATAATTTGAAAAATAGCTATTCATTTTTTTCACTACAAATATGACTCAAATATATAGCTATCAATGTCCAATTATTTTAATTTTTTATATGAATATTCTACTCAACAAGTCTAAAAAGTGAACAATTTAGATTATCGAAGTATGCTCCAAATTGGACCTACCAAGCCCAAACCGTTCTCTCAAGTTGGATGACTAACTTGAGAAAATCCAAACCTGCTCTTAAAATATAGCTTTTTGACTTTTTGACTTTTTGGGGTGTTCCCAAACTTGGCCTTAATCTAAGATCAATCGAAATCAAATCATCATATAATTATATTATAAATATATTAATAATTGTGCACAAATAAAATATAACAATTAAAATTTTAAAAATATACACTTGTATTATCAATTTATTTTTAATTCAAGATTTAAAATTTTATTTTGTTATGAATTTTTTAATAGGAAATGAGTTTTTAATAATGTAAGATAATAATAAATAATATATTGTTTTTATTAACATGTGTTGAAAGAGCATATGTTAAGAAACGCATCAAATCAATACAATTACACCCATTTGTATAGAAAGTAGTAAAAGCATGGCAAATTACGCTAGTGGTCTTTACATTTTACATTGTGTCGTTTTGGTTCTTACACTTTTAATTAATTTAATTTTGATCCTCAATTTAAAATTTTGTGTGAATTTGATCCAATTGATAATATCGTTAATGTTTTTTACGAAAAATTATCACTATATTGATTGAGATTAACTCACTGAATTTGGTAAGTTTATAATTTTACCCTTAAAAATATGACACATGACATTTATGTACATATTTTTCATTAAAAAAAATGGTGCGAGCTATAATCAATTAGACCAAGTTGAGACAAAATTATAAAGATCAAAATGACACAAGAACCAAATATAAGAACTATCATCATAATTTGCTTTAAAAACTTGTAAACCTATTAAAACTAAAGAATTATTTTTACATGGAGACAAAAATACCATCTTAAAATACCATCTTTGTATTTTTCTCAAATTCACCCATTAATTAATAAGAAAAAAAATGGTGATAAATCCAATTTAGAGAGGATCTAAGGCATTAGGTCTAATGAATATTTTTTATTGGTGAGAGGTCTATAGTTTGGTGAAAAGTTCTATAGGATATTTTGTTTCTAATTTTAGCTCGACTTTTTTTATCTACTTGACTTTTCGTTGACTATTTGTTCAAGTTTTTTCCTATCTATTCAAATTTTTCTATATCTGTTCAAAAAGTTTCCTATATATTCAAAAATTTTACCCTATCTGTTCAAATTTGTATCTAATCTATTTAATTTTTTAACCTTTTCAACTCAAATTTCCCTCATCTGTCAATTTTTTTGTCTATCTATCTAATGTTCTATCTATTTGTTCAATTTTCCACCATATTTGAACAAATATGTTTAAAACAAATCTTTTCTATCTATTCAAATTTTTATTATTTTCTTATATGTTCAAATCTCTTATCTCTTTCCAATCTATTCAATTTTTTACCTATCAATATCTGTCCAAATTTTATTATTCGTTCAATTTTTTTTCCTAAATCCTATTTTTGATTTTTTATCTTTCAAATCTTGGTTATTGAAATACACAAGCCACTATCTATTCAAAATTTGTATAAGCCACTATCTGTTCAAATTTGAACAAAACTGTTCTCTATTAAAAAAAAAAAAAAAAAAAAACTCCATTCACTCTCTGTTCAAGAACAACTAAAAAAAATACAAAGACGTAGATCTTCTTCAATTCTAGACCAGAGGACAATCTTATTCTTCAACACCTGAAATATATATCAAAAAGTATATAGTTCATCAGCCAAAACTTAAACCTAAACCCAAATCATTTTGCCATATTAGAACATTACAAAACAACTAACACATATTCACATCAATTACAGAAAAAAGCCCAAACAATTGTTTCATGATAAATCTGAAAGAATCCAAAAGACAACGAAAATCATCTATAATAGAGGCGTAGAAAAATGAATAGATCTGAAATCACAACTATACAAATCAATTATATCTTAGAAACAACCAAAATCAACTAGCTTATATGTTTATACTAAAAGACATAATCAGAAGTTAAAAATCGAATATATGTATAGAGAGAAAAAGATTACCGAATTGAATTAGGGATTCAAATCCTAATGACCTGGTTGGGATTGGAGTTGAAAGTTCTTTAAGAATTCAAAGAGGTATCTTTCGAATTGGGGGTCTGCTTTTGATAAGTGCCTTAACAGGGATCTCTGTTTAAAACCTCATCTTCACCAGAAGATGGAGTCCTAATCAACTTGAGAGAGGTCGATGCACAGTCAGCTAAGGTCAGAAATCTCCTCTAGGACCAAAACTAAGAACAAGTGTTTGTTTGGAGCTTCGACTATGGTTGTTCTACTCTAACCCGAAGGAGTCGTTGCGAATCCTCACCATGGTGATAAATTTCTAGGGTTTCGAGGTACGGCGGCGGAGATGGCACAGAAATGGGCAAGAGACAGAGATGGCGACGTCGATGATGGAGATAGGCAGCGATGAGGGACCATCACCGCGATCTCCGACATATCAAGATCGCTTATATCTACATCCCAGAGAGAGAAAGAGGGAGGGATGACAGCGGCTGAAGTGTGGCGATGGCGGTAGCATCTACGTAGTATGCAGAGGAGGAAGCCAACAGAAGTTTTGCCTGTAGAGAGAAAGCCTTACGCTGTGTTTGGTTGGGGGATTTGGAAATGCAAAGGGAAAAAATGTGTGAAACTAGGTGAAATATAAGTATGTTTTATTCACATTTTTCCTACTTTTTCCCTTTGCATTTTCAAATCCCTTTTCAAATCTCCCAACCAAACACATCATTAGGGTTTGAAGAGGAAGTGTAAGTGTGTGTGTATATATATGAGAGAGAAAGAGAGAGAGAGAAAAAGAGATGTGATCGATATCTGATCAACGTGATTTTTTATAAACATATATTACTCGACGAATTCTACACATTGAATAGCTCAGATTATCGAAACGAGACCCGTGGTGGGCCCCAACGGGCCCAACAGCTCCTTCCAGTCCGATCTAAGACTGGAGGGAAGCCAGACCCATGATATATATATATATATATATAAAGGGTATTTTGGTCGTGTTGTCTAAGTTTGTCCTTTTGGACAAAATATTTTAACAGTTGAACCTTTAGCCAAACAAAATTGTGATTTGAATTTATGGCCCGAGTATCCTTAATTAATTTTCCTTCTATTATTTTATTTTCTTGCAATTATATATGTATTAATTTGCAACACATAGTGATTATGTAATGCTAAATAAAGTATTTTTATTTATTTTTGTTTGAACAAGTATTTTTATTTATTTGATTTATTATTTTTTAAATAAATTCAAATGCATTTTTATTTTTATTTTTATTTTTTGGTCATGGGACACGTGGCAATCATCTGAAGCAGAAGGTTTCCACTATCTATATCATCCAAGGACTAGAATTTGAAGGTGTTAATAGCTCATAAAATAAAGACTTCTCATTAACCAAGCATGGGACACTTATCATTCATCCAATAACCCTACCCTCTACCCAACGATTGAGATTGAAAAGAGGTTATAACAGCCCTTATCCTTGGGGAATAATCAATAACTTGCATGGAATGAGGAAGCTGGTGGAATAGGTGTTAGCTCATGAGGCAGTCCAGCACCCCACTATGTAGAAATCATGGAAACCATTCAGGAGGTGGTTTTTGATATCCAGGAGGTAACCCATGATTTTCAAGAGGACTTAGCTACTATAAATACGTCATTTGAAGATGGAACAAACTCCAAACAATCAACCATCCAACACAACTTAGTACATAGCTCTGTACTATTTATCTCTAGTTTATCACTTAATTAGATTAGCAGTGTAAAACATTTTTGTCATAATTTTAGTCTTAGATCATGACATCCGTGTCAAGCTAGTTGTTTTTGGCCTTCATAGGCATTGTTTTGGAACTTAGATTATGCTTATATTTTATTTTGTAACTCAATTTTATATTTTCAAACTTGTATTTATATTTTTATACATTAAATTCAATAAATTTATGAAAGTATGTGTTTTAGTGTTCATTTCCCTCTATTTACCTCTTTTTTTTACATTAAAAACTCCATAAAAATTTTAAGTCTTTTTAGTTTTTTGAAATATGCAATTTCTATCACTTTAATATCTAAAATTACACATTATCTTTAACATAATTTAAATATTAAAAATCAAAATAATACAAACCTCATATTTTAAAAACCAAGAAATATAAGGGCAAATTATATTAATTCTCCTCAAACTATCGACTATTTACACTTTACCTCCTTAATGTTTTAAATCCAACAATTATCCCTTCAAACTATTTAAATTTGAACATTAAGTCCTTCTGTTAGTCATCTTTCAGATAGTTGGATGAAAAATTATCAAGTGTTTGCATATAATTGTTATATTAAATTTTATGGCTAAATTATCTTATTTTATCTTTTGTAAAAATTTAATATAATCATCATATATACAACACTTGATAATTTTTTATTTAAATATCTAAGAGATGACTAATAGAAGGATTTAATATTCAAATTTAAATAATTTAAGGAGAATAATTGTTAAATTTAAAATATTATGAAAATAAAATGTAAATAACCGATAATTTAAACGAATTTAATATAATTTGCCCGAAATATAATTAACCGTTTTGGATATGGAGTGAGGCACTTCATGACAATACACTATTTGAGATGTGGACGCCTCTAGTTCCCTCTCTTGTTTGCATAATGTACACCTTTAATTTAAATTAAATGAAGAGAAACTCGGAAATTTTGGGATTTGGGCTGTGCTTCGATTTCCATAATGCAACTAATCATAATGAATAATTTTATAGGTATTAATTAGTGAATTCATGAGTATATTAATAGATAATGTGACGTAATTTTAAAAATATTAGAGATTTATAATTTGTATAATAAGTAGAGTTAATAATAATATCATAATACTAATTGATACACTAATTAATATATTAATTGATACACATAACACCATCAAATGATAATAATGAGTCTACCATCTACAGCCTATAGCCTTTTCTCCTGGAAAGTGATTAATGGGACAGCCATTTCTCCCGGAGAGTGATTTTTGGTTTGGGGGAGGCTTTCCGAGCTCATTACGGAATTTATATTAATAATTTAAATTATTTAATATATAAAATTTGTTAAGTATTTTATTCTTATAAAAAATTATATTAATTAAATATTAATAGTCATTTGATTAGATTACGTTTGTATCAATAATAAGTATGTCTTAAAAATAGATTGTTAACACAATTGTGATCTGATTAAATAATTATTTATATCTAATCAATATAATTTTTTACAATGATGAAATATTCGACAAGCCTTATACATTGACAATTCAAATCATGGGTTTCATGGTGGGCTCACAGAGGCCCAACATCACTCTCCAATTGATTTTTTTCAATTGAAAAGAAGCTTCTTCCTTGTATTATTATTCAATAATTTCAAAATCAACAATGATTCATACCACTAAAAAAAAGACCACTAATAACACTGATGCATTAAAAATATCAAAAAAAAAATAAATAAATAAACAAGGCATAAACAAAGGGCAGGGTGTGCTCATGTTCGTTTTATGAAACAGAACCAATCATAAAAAATGACAATAAAGCATGTCAGAAATAAATCATCAATTAACACCACAGAGAAGGTAAGCTTTACAATCACCACCACTGATGGATTCTTAGTTACACAATCAAACAACTAACAAAATAAAAATATAGAAACAGAAAAATATAAAACCTCAATCCCAAGTTGAGGCAGTGGAATGGTAGTGGCGGATCCAACAGCCGTAGTCCAGAAAAGGCAAATATTAGGGCCGAGAATTGGCAGATCTTAATAAGGTAAATTACATTCACATTTCTTAACGTTTGAAGGGAAAAAAAAAAAACCGTTAATCTTATACTTTTAACATAATTATATTAACTTTTCTTTTAGTATGATTAAAACTATCGATACTAATGTTAATGATGAGTAGATATTAAAATAAACCAAAATAAATATGAATGTCCGAAGCTCTGCCAAACCTTCATTGTCTCAATCATTGACGAAATCAGTCTCACTGTTCAGCACAATCAGGCCGTGGACAGTCTCACTGTTCATCGTTAGTGCTGTGAGATTGGGTTTGTTGTTACCTTGGTATATTATGTGTCACTGGTTGTATGTAGTAAAGGAATTGTCCAATTCATGATTATGGTTATTTATTTCATGGTCATGTGTTGATGTTGAAATTTCGGTGCTCTTTTGTTTGTTGTTAGTTGTGGGTGTCTATGTATTGTTGACTTGGTGTTTATTTCACTATTTGATTTTGGGATTTTGAGCTAAGCTGTCTTGCACTGGGTTATTTCACCAAAAACTTTATGCACATTACATATTTGATTAATTGATTCAAAGAATTAATTTTCTCAACACAAACAGTCCTTGATTTGTGAGGTGGTGATGTGGTAAATGGTATGAAGGATAAGGGAGCAATAAGGAAATAATGGCTGGCTATTGTATTATATGTAAAAAGAAAGAAAATACAGTAAGGGGATGGAAACAAAGAAAGAGTAAAATTTGTATTTATACAACATTAACATCTGACATCAACACACACACACCAAAAAAAAAAAAATGCTGGTTGACTTAACGGTCAACAAACATAGGGGGTAATTTGTAATGTGATTTTAAACCTCAAGGAGGGATTGTAATTTTCAAAATGTGATGAGAAAATCTGTATTAAGTATAAACCTTAAGGGTGTCAATGTAATTTGCCCATAATTATATTATAATATTCTATGTTCTTATTTTATAGTATTTTGGGGTCATCCTTGTTAGGGCATTTCCAATGGTTTATCAGAAATTTCATCAAATCTGAGTAAAAAAAAGACGAATTTCTCAATTTGATATCAGCTACTTCAATGATGAATACTATAACTTTCATCAAAACACACTGGATGTCCGAGAGGACGATTGGTTGGTTGACCGGAAAGAGGAAAATGAATTTCTTTTGCTGATCCATTTGCTTTACTCTTCACTATAGAGCTATTGTCATTGACTACCAAAGCTTCACTAAACTCAAGCCCCTACTATGAGAGAGAGAGAGAGAGAGAGAGAAAAAAGAAAAAAGAAAAAGAGGGGGTTTGAAGAAGACTACCCACAAAATCAAAATCAACAATGGACACAACAATCTCTCCTTCATGAATCCCTCTGCTTTTGTTTGCCAGAGTCTCAAGTCTCATTGTTGCAATTCTTGTCCTCATTTGGGCTCTTGCCTTCAAGACTAGTTTCCTCTCTCACTCTCACTCCCAAGAAGACCCCATCTATGTTGTACCCTTCTTCTCTCTCCTTCTCTAAATACATGCATTTGTATTTGAGCAAAAGATTGTGGCATTATGTGTTGTTTTTATTTTCAACAAGTGCTTCATCCCTTGCTAATGGCGATTGGGTTCATACTCATCAGTGGAGAAGGTAGTGAAGCAGAGTTTTTTTTTCTTGGTTTTTCAAGAATGGGTTGTTTTTATTGGAACAAGAAAGTGTTTTTGAGAAATAATTTTTGAATTTTTTTTTTCTTTGTTTTTGTTTTTACAGCAATTTTGGTGCACAGATGGTTGCCAGGTTCAAGAAATTTGAAAAAATAAATGCATTTGTACCTGCAAG